CGACTGGTGTTCAAGTCCAACAGTGGCGCTGCTTCTGGCTTGCCAGTTCTTCAAGAAGTACTGCAACGCCTTTGTCCTGCCACACCCCGATGTTGATTGCCAACACATTGGCCGACTCTGGTCTTCTATGCACGTGTGCGATGCCATACTTGTTTGGATGTGGCTTTGCGTTTTCTCGTGCCTTGATTCGCAGGTCTGTCAGGAACTGGCATAGTCCAACAGGGTCGCCCACCTCAGCGATCGTGACCCGTGAAGGAAACACAGATGAATGAGTATGTTACATGTTACCCGCACGCGCAGGCGCAGAAAAAGAGCGCAGAGCGCAGCTGCTGAAAGCCTGTCCTTGTCTGCAAGAGAGCATTTCCTCACGGCACTGGCTTGGGCCTTCTGATTCATACTGGTTGCCCTGCAAAGAGCCTCAGTGTATCTTGGTTGGGAGCCAGATGCAGACGCCAACTTGCGTGAAGAGCCCGCAGGCGCATCGTGTATCAACAAGGCTGGCTTTGCAGAACGCTGAGCAGTCTTTTTCTGTAAAGAAACGCGTGCATTGTCAGCCATCTGGCCCATGCAGTCTTCCAACAAGCTCTGGCAGAATGTTTAACGACAAGGCGGACTTCTTCCACAAGTTGGAGCAAGCAGGTGGCGTGGAGCACACCTGCAACACGTGTGAAGAAAGGCCATTTAGGGTGCGACCACGGCTGTCGTGGCCAGCCCAAGAGAGAACCCGCAAATATAGTTATTGGATGTTGGAAAAAATGGTCCAACTTGTTTCAAAAAAGAACAATGTGGTCTGCTTGACTTTCTCCTTTGACCTCAAAAGGAATCCTTCTTTTTGGAAAAAAAGCGATCCTTCACTGATTTCAACTCCCCAATGCCAGGAACTCTTCAGCACGATACCTAGACCATCCTGTCAGGGTGCCCTGTCGCCTAGTGGGGTAGTGTGGGGTACTCCAGCCAGGACAGCCCTACAGGATGGTCCTGGTATTGAGTTGTAAGGTATATATCCAAGATTAGATCACCCAATTTTCTTGGGCGGGAAATGTGTGCCCCCCCAAAAGATCCCAAAGAAACACAGATCTTCGGCGCCCAACAACTCCTGCACCTGACACTCCTGGGGAAGATGCTTCGAGGCATTGCCCTCTGCGGGAGAAACGTGGACACGCCACAATCTCCTGACACCGCGGCGGTGGAACGCCCACGACCATGGGTTTCTGGTCGCTTCGAAGGGAACCGATGGCAGCACCTCAAGAGGTTTTTGGTCCATCCTTTTGACGAACTCGGGGGTAACTGCCATCCACTCTGAAACCACGAAGCTGGCGACGCGATGGGAGTCAGGTGCAATATGCAACTCCGGGTGGTGCTACGAAAGGTTTCGGACAAAATGAGGTGTTCTAAACTAGGGAGAACCGACCGTGGGCGATCCTACCCCCTGGTGGAAGGTTCGGCACATAGATCAGTCTACCCAGCCAGGGCCGAGAAAAGGGGGTCTCCCTATCAAAAGTTACACCACCCATATCTGGTTCCGGTTGAGGTCGCTTGGGAAGATCCACCTGGAGTCGACCCGTTCGCACCCTGGAAAAATGGGTGCAAGTACCCTTTTGGGCCATTTGAGATGGGGATTATGTCCCGTTTTCTAAGGTACAAACGTACCGGGTCAGTGTCCCACACGCCAAACCCCCAAAAACGCCCCCTGTTGCCGTGGCACTGCATCGCTGCACCCCCCCCCCCGCGCGCCCAAGCTCGTGTGGCCGCGCTTCGCACGCCGGTGTGTCGGAGGGTCCAGATCCCAGACCCTCCGGCTGGTGCTCGGGGATTTCGTGCCAGCCAGGGTGGAACAAAGGGGGCCTCCATCTGGGGACCTCTACCTGGACCCACGGTCAACGGGCACCCTTTCGCATCTGTTCCGGACAATTCTATATAGATACCCCTGTTTGAGGGGGTCCACGGGGTGTCCTGGCAGATGTTCTTCAAGGTCATGGCTCATGCAGTCTGTCAAACATCACTCGTGCAGGTCCAACCCGAATTCCGCCCACCGGAAATCCACAGCGTCGGACCTCGGACGGTCGAACTCCCGTCCCTCCGACTGTTCGGCGATCTTCAGTCTGACAGATGGTTGACCCCCGAGGTCGGCGGCCCAGTTCACAGTCATCGGACAGTCATCGGCCCCTGGAGCTCCAGGTGGTTACGACCCGAAGATGGCAGCCACCCCCGTCCCAGCTTCTCAGAAGGTATGACTGGAGCCGCAGGGAGAGTATTGATGTGACCCCATCACACAAAAGGCCAGTTTGGGGTCCATCTGCAGCTGCCCAGCTCCCTCCCCGAATGGCACGGGAACTTCCCGCCTTCTCCAGTTTGCACGTAAAGCCTAATGGTCCGGATGTGGCGTTGGCTTTCTTTTCGCGTTGGGCATTTTTGGTGTGTCCAACAGATAGTTCCGAAACACTGTAAAGAGAGAGCTGGAAAGAGATAAATGGGCTCAACAACAGCTAAGCCTATTCTTGGCGGGGGCTCCTTTTTGCGCCACGCTCTGTTGCGTTGGTCTTTTCTCAAAATGTCAGTGTGCGGCCCGGACAAAGAAGGGCATTGGGATGGTCTTATCACAGATTGAGTTGAGGATCACATTATATAGGGATTCTCCCCAAGCCAGGTCTTCTCCAACTAAACAATGGACTGTTCAAGGACGTTGATCTTCTTCCCAAACTGGCTTCCAAAACACATTTCAAGGCATTTTAAGACCTTGAAAGTACAGAACTTGCTTCCAAACATACAGAACTTGCTTCCAAACATTATACAGTTGGAGCGACCTAGGTAAGTCTTTGTCCATTCTTCTCCAAAGCCTCCCAACCAATCCTTCGTCCTCTACCCTCCCCATCCGTCGCGTCGCGTCGTTTGAACCTCCAAGGCACCGCAGCCGTTGCGCCAGCGGCGCCAGGAAGAGGTCCGCCTCGTCAGCGCGCTGCGCCGCGGGGGCCTCCGAAGCGATGCAAGGTCGAGGCAACGAAGTGAAGAGGAAAAGCCAAACGGCTAAACGGCTTGGCTTTTTGTGAGGGTTTAGGGTTTAGGCTTTTTGTAAGGGGGAGGTTGAAGAGAGAGGTTATGGCCAATGTATGTTCTTTTGAAGGGATGTTGATGTCAACAATGGCGGAGGTGGAAGAGATTTACAGATAAAATAAGAGATGTGAAGATGTTCTTCCCTAGAAAAATGGATGAAACATGGCCGTGTGGATGCATTCTGTTACTCCTGTATACTGTACTCTATACTCATGTTACGAGTCCTCACGGTGGTAGATGTTGCTCAATGTAGCACGTCGACCCTCACTTGCTCAAACCCTGGGTGAACCTGCAAGAAACACGTCTGCAAGTTTGCAGGTTGAGCGAGGAGAGCTCACTTTGACAGGAGCTTGGCCCAGGCTTGGCCCCGCGACTGGTCTATTCGAGCACGACCTGTTTGCCACCCCCAAGCACCCAAGCTCTGGGATTTGGGGGGCCTCAGCTGCTGTGGAAAAACGTCTTCTCTTCGGCGCACCTGACACGGGCTCGGATGGTGCGGCAAGCGGAACATCCATGCAGGCCTGCCTCAATTTCACCTACAAATCAGTCCAACCCCCACTTGATTGGGACCAAAGCACCCATACACGATGGCGAACTGATGGGTGACCCTTCACATATACGTCCGTTCAACGGGCGTGCATCGGGTCGTACATCAGCTGCGTCGCGTGGGACCTGATGCACAGGCAGCTCGAGGTACCCACACACCCATCCACCCACCTCCGGAAGGGTTCCTTCGGCCCCTCCCGATCCGCATGAGACCGCGCCAAGCAGAAGCGCCAAGCAAGCGGCTTACATCAGCTGGCTTACCAGGGATTTAAGAGTTCTGAATGCCGAGGAACCAGGGTTTTACTCAGGATTTTAGTACTAGACCAACCAGCTCAACAAGTTGTGAAAAATGGTCTCGGCTCGGCTGTACTAATCCAGGTCGTCGCAGGCTGGAGTCAGCAGGGGGGATTTGGGAGATGGGGGCGAGAACCCAGCAATTAACAAAAATGCTTTGTATCAGGACCATCCTGTCAGGGTGGCTAGACTACCCCACACTAATTAGGCTTCATGAGGCTTGTCTGACAGGGCACCCCGACAGGATGGTCTAGGTATTGTGAAGAGTTCTTGTGTCATCCATGCCGGCAATCTGTATGATACCCCATCTCCTCTCCCCAGCTTCGCCGGGTCAAATCCGCGACGCGTGTCCACTCGTCCCCACCACGGAAGAATCGCTGAGTCTTAGAGACGGACCTGGGGGTTCACAACTGAGGGTACTGGGCACTGGCTTTTTGGTCCAGAGCCATTTTGGACCATATACCTGCATGGATCTTCCAACGACATGCCAAATGTATGCCTGTTATTCCAGAAGCACACGGCCAAAGTTAGGGGGGGAATTGGGCACAGTTGGAAGATTTTTTGGGTTTGAATCCTATGCTTCACATCCCCCGCTGCGAGTCCCTCCACCCACCTTGATGTGCCCATTTCGCTCGCTGCCTTTTGGTCGGTCTCTGTCAGTCTATGTCGGTCGCCCATCTCTCGGCCCCCCTCTCGGCCAACCGTGGGGGCTCCAGCTATGTCTTGATTCATTACTTGGCTACCAACAGCTCAAGTTGAGTATAGTCCTCTATGTTGAGTATAGTCGTTATATGTTGAGTATAGTTCTATAGTACGGCTACCTATGGCTAGGGCTCAGGTTGAGACCCAGGATTTGACCATGTTTGGGTGAAAATCTACCACGACTGGATGCCATTCCAACACCACCTGAGCCTGCTTTGTGACACTCGTGCCAAAGATCTCAAAAGATCTCAGAAAGTACTGTAGGTATATGGTATTACATTGTTCATTTTGCTCGATGAACATGCGCTTCTTGGTTGCACTCGTGTTGCACCGAAGGAGGCACCTGCATGGGTGGCTTTCACATGTCACCCAGATGGAGACCGGTCTCCATCGACCGGAGACATCGACTAGATCAGTGCAGCTTCCTCAGCACCCAGGCCATTGCCATCCACGTAGAGCTTGAATCGCACCTCGCGGCGGTCCCGCGGCGGCGTGGGAGGAGCCGAGCAATGCCCACGTCGGAAGCGTGGATCCGCGTGGATCTGGAGGGGCACGATGCTCTCTTCGGAAACTGGACGGTTGAGGTGTTGTGAATTCTCTTCCGCCGCAGTGTTCGAAGAGGACTTGGTTCATCTATTGACCAGAGAAAGCATATTCCAGCAGTCACGCTCGTCGCGGTGCCGGTGACGAACGGAAGGAGTAAGGAGTACAGGTGCCCCTGTCACATCCACGGCCCCTGGATGGCCATACTCGAAACCACCCCGAGCTCTGCTGAAGCCTTTTTCGATCCATGTTCTGACCATCGACGTCGCGACCGTGCGACCGGTGCGTCGACCTGCTACCGGTCCGATCGGTGCGTGGCAACCGGACCTTCCAATGGCGGTCAGGGCACCGGGGACACCGACCCGGAACATGAACAGTCGATTAGCAGGGCTCCGTTCACCTGCCGTGTTCGTGCTCCAGAGCTCCAGTCCCAGCTCTTGGGGTTCTTGGGGCTCTTGGGGTCGCTGCTGTTTTGTGGCACCCCTTTGGCCCCGGAAACAAGGGCCTTTCCGGAAGTCGAAAGTGAAGAGAATACAACCCCTCTTCCAGCACCGCCCTGGACTCGGGTGGTGCTAAAGGACATCCACTCCCTCTCCCCTGGGGATCCGTTTTCGAACCGAACCGAACCGGTGATGGTGTTCGACACTGAGACATGTAGGTGCCATGTTCGGGTGCGTGTTCGTACCGGGTCGGTTCGGTTCGAAAACGGATCCCTATAGGGTCTGAAAAGAAGGTTCCATGGTGTTGAATACCAAGAAAACCCACCCAGATCGTGGGTAGGTAGGTGCTTGCGCTCTTTGGGGTGTTTTTTCACGGCTTTTTCCCCTCTATTCACTTCCGGACGATACAACTGCTTCTCGACTCAGGCTGGCAATGAGTTATCAGATGGCGCATGATGGCGCCAATTAAATCGGACATGAGGTCGAAGGAGCCTGGGTTGGGTCTGCCTCGACCCTTCGACACAACCCTTCCAAGTCGGGCTTGGATCGAAAAAGGCTTCAAGTCAAACCTTCAGGAGTCACAGAGCTCGGGGTGGTTTTGAGTCCCTATGGCCATCCAGTGGATGTGACAGGGGCACCTGTACTCCTTCCTCCTTCCGTTCGTCACCGGCACCACGACGTGCGTGACTGGGTCGTGATCAGGGGACCGGGAAGGGCCTGGGGTCGATCTCCAAACCCTACCGTTTGGAGGGACCCAGTCGGGCTGTGAACCGAGCGTCTGGGTTGAAGAAAACAAAAATATATGGATCGCCCGATCGATGGATCTTTCAGAAGTTGTTCCAACATCTTTTTGGGAAACCTCTATCGAGCTTATAATAGGCTTGTGTCTTATGAATGCGTGTGTTTAATTGTTCTCTTCCAAAGAACCGGTTGTTCCTTTTCTTGTGATCTCCAGGTGGTGATCTTTGCGGGTCATGAACAACCATCGCACCGTCAGAACTTCAGCACATCAAAGAACCATCAGGGTTGTCTGTCACCAGAACAACCCTCGCCTTGCTCCGGAGACCTGTCTACACCGCCTTGTTCCGTGGTCAACGAGACACGTGAGACCCGGCCGTGACCTCGCCGTGACCTTCCACGCCCCGCTTCGCTTCGCTTCGCTTCACCGACCCGACTCGCCGACTCGCCGGTTCGGACGAAACGGGTCGGACGAAACGGGTCGGTCCTTCCAGAGCCAGACCCCCCCCCCCTTTGGGTTGGGAATCTGCTCATATGGAAGGGGTCTCAATTCCCAGGTGTTCAGGGACCAGTCGGGCTGTTTTGGAGCGTGTGGGTGGTAGCAAATTCCGTCCCGAAACGAGTCAAACGCTGCACCACCCTCACTGACGCCAGTTTTGAGTTTCGGTCACATCACCGTGAAACACATGGGAAAAAGCGCTCTGGTGAAGACCGACGTTACTGTAAGACCCTCCCAGTCGGTGAAGCCACCAGTGGCGATGTCCTTCCGAAGTCCTGCAACACCAAAAGCCCTCCCAAAAATTCGATCAATGCAACGCTTCTATCCAATCGTCATCATCGCAGATTTTGAAGGCACTTCTTACCTGTTTGAAGAAACCCACAAGAGGAAAACAGGTTTTCGTCACCACATCTGGTTTTAGAAGTTTGAGCAGTTTGAGTTACCTTTCGAGGGAACTAAATGTTTTCTCATCATCCGTTCAATCGACCGTTTCCCAGTGCTTTTCAGTCGAACCAACAGGCCACTCAGAACTCCGAGAACTCCTGGGTTTGTCCTAGGAAAAGGCACCGACTTCATGAAACAGAATCCCCCTCAGAGCTCTTAGCTCCAATCCCAATGTGGAGTGTTGATGTTTGTTCTGGGTCCAAAAAAGAAAAAGCACTCTGGCCACCAAGTTCACCAGACTGATCTGAGCTCCATACCCTCATGGCCCGTCTTTTGGGGAGACCCGACTGGTGGAGGAAATGAACATGAACAGAATAGACTATACAGAACATGGACCAAAAAATAACCATGTGCACTGAATCAACCTCTAAGTGTTTGTTGGAACGCCCAATCTGACTTCCAGGCGATTTATGAGTGCACGAACCACTTGCACCAAGACCTGCTGACTATTCCACTCCGATCTGCTCTATGGCTTTTTGACAGCTTCGCGAAAAAGAAAAAACGCAGGCCTGTTGCCCTTCCGCCACCGTCTCGGGAGCCCCCTCGAGGTCTTTCCTCACACTGTCTCGGGCGTGCGCCAACGGGGCTGGAGGCCTCTCTGGAAGTTGGTTAGGTTGATTGGCTGATTGGTTGGTTGGTTGGATGGATGGTTGGTTGGTTGGTTGGGTGGTTGGTTGGTTGGGTGGTTGGATGGATGGATGGATGGATGGATCGATCGATAGTTGGTTGGATCGTTGGTTGGTCGGTTATGTTGGTTTCTAAACCCCCCAAACATGGACATATATGTCCTGTGTTCCGCCGATCAGCGGAACCGTCCGGGTGACTTAAGTATGCGTATACCGAAACGATTGAGAGGTCACTTGTATCAGTGGGATGTCGCTACGTGGGATGCTGCAAAGTGATCTCTTCAACTGACCACCCAACCTTCAACGTGCGGCGGAGCGCTGCGCCGTGCCGTCTCAGATCCGAACCGTCCGCGCCTTCCACACTGACAGAGCCGCTGTTCGCTGTTTTGGGGTTGCCAACCTGCCCCAATATCGATGCTTTAGGACTCCCCCCCATGATCGATTCGTTCCAAACGGACCCACCGACCCACCGCTCCGTACATGTGGCCCGCGCGCCGGACGGAAGCCGCCGGTCGAGCCGGTAGCCACCGGTCGAGCCGAAGGCACTTGTTCAGATAGATCTTGCCCCCGCGCATGTCTTTCGCCTCGTGTTCCTTGGCTCACGCGCGGTCGGTCGGTGGCCAAAGGACGTCCAGATGGTCCGAAACGGGCCGTTTGGAAGGGATGGATGGATGGAGGTTCTCCCCAGCGTTCCGAAGACCAATCTAGACCGGTGTCCGAAACACTTGTTCGGGTTGGAAAACGAAAAGTACGGAAAACTGGTGGGTGCTGGTGGTAATCGATCATCTGAATTTTTCACACCCATTCGCTTTTGGACCTCCAGAACCTGCAAAAACCCTCTGTTTTCACCAGGGGGGTCAAGTGGGCGTAAGCCCTGCTCAGGACTTCTTCACAACGTGTTGCCCACGAGGGCGGAACGACCTTGCCCGTGCTCGTTGGAAGAGTCCGTGCCCCCCTGTGCAGCGGAGTGGTGGAAAAAGCGACCTGCCTTGTACAAGAACCAGCTTTGCACAAGGTTGTACATATGTGCTCTTCTGACCCAAAAAAGGAGGGAAAACACGACATGTGTATGTTGACGCCGCATGGTTTCATGAAGAAAAGACTCTCGAAGCTCTCTTGGTTTGGGATTTTGGGGATTGTTATCACGAATATATCTTTACACTCGCATGCCGTTCGGAGTCTCACCATTTGCGCCGGTTTCGTCCGCTTGGGTCGGTTGGCTACGAAGAGTTTGGGGTCTGTACAGCATGCGATCGACGCCGATCTCGAGTCCAAGATCAGATCAACGACAACTATTTACATGTTGACCATCCAAAAAGGAGGAAACACATCCATCCACCCTGGTTTCTTTCTCCGCCCTCTGTGGTTTCCTGCCTCCTTTCACCCGGTCCTTTTCAAAGACCGGCGCGCGGCACGTCGGACGCCTTTCTGCTGCAGGGGTCGATGGGATGATCGGTTTTCATCCAACCGTAGTGTCCTGCGCGGCCAACACGCCCAAAAAAGAAGAAGCGGATCGAACCGCGAACCTTTCACTTCCCCCGGTTTGGCGTGGCGTGGACTTCGGACACACCGAAACCGAGCGAAAAAAGAGAGAATTCGGACCCTCCGAGCCACGACCGACGACCGACGATCCGACGAAACGACCGAGGAGCCGACTCGAGCCGACAGATCCGACGGATCCACACGGAGCGACGTATCAGATGATCCGTGTCCGAAAAAAAGCGAAAAAAAGCGACAGAGATATACCGGGCTCTTCCAACGACGGTGTACCAATTCTGCCTTTTCATCTGCCAAGAGGCCGAAAGGTTGCATGTCGGAAGATGCAGGTACGGTATATCATCAAATAGCCATGTTGGTCTTTGGAAGCCCATAGGAACAGGTCAACTCCAAAAACTCGGAGCCCAAATCCACCTCTCGCCTCCCCTCCACCCTAATACCCCCAAACGGCAAACACCGACCCGCGTGCGACCGCGCGCCCCGAATGGGCGGTCCTTTCCACTCCACGATCTCACCGAGGATGTCCTCCTCCACAATCCGCTCTCGCTGTGGGCTCCAGCCCCACCACTGGCCTCAGCTCTCGGCACGAAGAGAAGACGACGACCGCGCGAAGGAGAGAGGAGAGAACACACGAAAAACGGCCGGCCAAGGGAGCTTCGCGAAGAGGACACGGACCCCCCAAAAAACGGTGTGAATCGGAGTGAGTCGTGTGTAGGCTGCACCAGGACCCGGCTGCACCAGGGGTGTCTATGGCCTTGTACAGAGGTGATGCCGGGTGTCCATAAACGGTCCTGGCAGCAGGCGCTGAAGGAAGGGATGTCCCCGGTGTCCCCCAAAGAACCAAAAACTGATGCCAGCCAAATGCGTGAGGAAGGACTACTTTTTTTCACAGCGATGGGAATTGGAAGGACTGGGCAGGAGGCCTTGGATCGGCCTGGTCAAGCAGTTTCTGGTTGACCAACCATGACCTCCCCACGCAGTGCGCTGTCTTGCCAAGTCACTCATCATCTCCCACATCGCCTGCCTTGGCGGTCGGCGCCACACAGACGGTGCCGGTGCTTCTTCATGGCCCAAACCCTCCCGCTGGTCACTTCGGGAACCAAAAACTCGATCTCGTCACCGGTGAATCTCAGAAAACTACACACCGGTGACATGTCATTTGCTCTAAGAACATGGCCCTCCTTCTCCAAAACGGGAGAAGGGAGTAGCTTGGAGGCCATCGCTAGTACCTTGTGGAGGCCATCGCTATAGTACATTGGAGGCCATCGCTAGTAGGTTGTGGAGGCCATCGCTAGTAGGTTGTGGAGGCCATCTAATAGCGGCCTCCAACCTACAAGCGATGGCCAACCCCACAAGCGATGGCGATGGGTCGTCCGGGGGTGGGATTCGGGATTCGGAGATCCGGGCAGATGGGCTCAGGGGTGGAGAAAAGACCTGGAGAGGTCTGTCTTTCGGACTGGTCATGCTTCCACATGAGTCGGTGAGTAAATGCAAGCAGGGATTAACATGTCGGCCAGCGCACGAAGGAAGGTTGCTCAAGCCTTCACTAAGGAGAAAAGCCGTAGACCACGGTTCGACAGCGAAAGAATGACTACTATTCTGAAGATTCTGGAATGGGAGGATGACGGCAAAGCTAAAGATATGGTCTGGAGAAAATGGAGTTGCCCAGAAATTGCGAAAAAGGTACCCTGTGGTGATCTCCGAAAAGACTTGCTCAGAAATTGCGAAAAGGCATATAATGCGTGGTATGTTCTTTTTTCTCGTCACATCGATGGAAACTGCAGGGAAGCCGCCAGGTGTATTCCCTTTGATGTCTTCCCCTTCATCCAGCAAAACCTAAACCTCTTCCTCTCTTGTCTTTTTCACGACCCTGTCGCCAGGTCACATACATTCCCATCCTCCCCACACCAAGTCGCACGTTCCAAAAGCCGCCTTTTCCCTTTCCTTTGCCTGGCAGAGAGGCTTTTGTCGGCTGAGAAGATTCTCAGAAGGAATGATCAACCGCTGTGCCAGTCATCTGATTTGTAACATAGCCGCCTGGTAAAGGAAACACCATACTTTCTGCACTTTCAAACCCTCCAGAGGTTTCTTGGGTCAGTTCTGTTCAGTGAGTTGTCTTCATGCAAGAGTGAGTTGTTGTTCAATTCGTCCAGGAGTCGTTGGCAGAACAGAAAACCAAAAAAGAAAAACGCGTCCCGAAGGGGGGGGGTCTAGGAGAACCGGTCCATCAACGACAAGGAACATCGCTGCCAGAACGTCCTGCCAGCAGCTTTTTCCTGGGGGCAGGGCAACTCTCTCGTGCTCAAGTCTCCTTCGTCTCCTTTAGCAGTTTGCACAAGGGCCTCAAATCATGCGCCTCGGTCAGGAGAGTACCATCCGCCAAGATCAGTCTCAGATCATGAAATCGGGTCAACTGCAGCTGTTCTCTCAGGCATTCTCGCAGGGACTCCAGCGGCATCGCCTCGAAAGGGGTTTGATCGAACATTGACATGACCGCCATGGCCTGTCTTGTAGATGGATCATGATGAATGGCAATTTAAAAATATACTTGTTTGAAGAGAAACCAAGTGAAAGCACAGGCACCATCACCAGTTGCACCTACACGGCACTCACGTGTTTCTGTTTTTTTTTGTTCGAATCCCAACATCTCGCCTGCAAGCTCTCGAAGCTGGCCACATGCTCACCTGCTAAGCTGGTACATGAGATGCAGAGATCTTCTGCATGCCAGTGAGCAGTCAATGTCAAGACCTTCTCCTTGAAAAGCTGTAAGTGTCTCATCTGTTCCAAGCTGCAAACTCTCTGTAGCAGCATTGGGTCTCTTGACACATCAAATCCACGGATGCGATAGCTGGTACCGTAGCTCGTTAGACCCAAGTAAACCTCAGAAGCAGGGACTTCTCCTGGTTCAAAACTGCAACTGGCTACCATCTGTCCATTGATCCAATAAATGCCCATTCTCTCAGAAAGCACCATACTCAGCTCATTCCATTCGGATTCTCGTAGCCTTTCCACACTGTGCCTCACAACGCCTTGTGGAAAGGCACCGAAGATCCGAGTGCGAAACGTGAAGTCGCTGCGGTTCACACTGGCATAGGCCGTCAAGCCGTCGCCTCCCCGACCCCAAGGCAGACCATTGCGGGTGGCGATGAGCAGGCATTCCGTATCAGGTCTCAGTGGAAGCACTTCGGCACGAACGTAGATCGGCAAGGACACACGGCACCTCGTGCCTGGCTGCGCCTCTTTCTGCACATAAGTCGGGAGCGCGGCGCCGGTGAGTTCGAGCTCAAAAGGCATCTGGAGGAGTGGCGTGGGGAACAGTAAGCTGTACGGTGAAAGTTCCATCTCAGCCTGAGCCTCCCGCATGGGCTGAGGAAGCCTTGAAGAATGGCGATTATTTGGCTGAGCCATGGCGTTGAAGAATGGGCGGCCGAGTGGCACCAGGACGAGAACGTAGCTGGGAAGCCTTTCGGATTTGGCACGGTAACCCTTGCAACCCTGGTGATCTCCGATGCAAATCTGGAGGATCAACGACGCCTTGAAAGCATGTCCGGACCGTCTCTAGAGAAACACGACTCTTCATACTTGGAAGATCATCCAAGAAAAGAGCCACTGGTTGGTGTCCATATGTACCTAACCAGAGCATGCACCGGCGAGCTTCATGTTCTCCCTCCAAGGTGGCGTAATGCACCCCAACAGACGGTTCCTGTCTCGTCTTGGTGGAAGACGACTCTGGATGGCAGAGTTTCGCTGCATTTGCGGGGGAGAACTCCTGAGATGTGGAAAGCTTTGTAAATGAAGGGCATGGGGTAATCATCCATGAAGACATCCTGGACGTCTTCCGCCCACCGTGGCTTTTCCATGAAAGGAGCAGTGTGACCAGTTGGTTCACAAGAAAGGGGCCATCCTCAAGTTTTTAAGTTATTGCAGGTCATAGCCGAATCTCAAGAAATGAGAATACACTTTCGTGATTTCGGAGAGGTGGCTATGCTGGCCGCAGGTGGCTATGAAAAGCCTTGTGAGTCTTAGCCACGCGTGGCTAACGGCTGACGATTAGGACCCAAGCCTCGTGTAAAGACCTTTGACGAACCTGGAGAACGAGGTCAGGGGACCTTTTGGATCGTTTTTGTCGGAGTGCTCAGACTAGGGGATTCCAAAGGCTCCGACTCCTTGTTGTGGCTTGGCGCACCTCAATGTTGTTACTCCTTGTTGTGGCTTGGCTCACCTCAAGACTCCTTGTTACTCAGTGGCTTGGCTCACCTTTAAAAACATCTATTCAGTGACTCCCAAAATCGCTGAGCAGCGAGGTTCTTCGCCGCCCTCGGTCGACCGACGACAACAGAAGGTCGGTCGGTTCGAGTTCAACGGTCCGACGGACGACGACTTGCTCGGACCCAGCATGAATGGGTGGAAGTCGCGGCAGTATGCGGCAGGTTCGCCAGGTGTTTCAGAGTTCGCCCACTTCCTCCCCCAAAAGGGCTTCGCCAAAGCACCCAAGAAGGAAGAAACATGTACCCAACAAACTGCGACAGGTCACCAATTGAGACCTCTTAGGGCCTAACAACCCTCCAAAGGAGACCTGTTGGAGGGTGCTGGTATATGTTGGGTATATCGCATTACCACAGCCCAGTGGATGACGATGATGGTTCAGTTGCAGGCCTTTCCATCTCTAAAATAGTCATAGTGATATGTAGTTTCCAACTGTTGAAGGTACGAACGGACAGATCCAACATATATCTAATACTGAAAGCTCTTGGCCACCCTGCTTGACCACACAAGAACGGGCCGAAAGCACACCTTCACTTCGACTCTTTAGGGGGCCACCGTGCCAGACCGGACCGGCTGCCGCGCTGCCTTTCGGTTGCCGCGCCATCTCTTGGAGGTGTGGATCATCTGAGCGGAGGGTGAGCCGAGGGAGAGGAAGAAACACGCCCCAGTGGGAACTCATCGACAGGTCGGTATTTGAGGTAAAGAGCTTGTGGTTCTTGCAAGATGTTGGTTCTTAAGGAAAGAATGACTTCACGAACAGAAACACATGAAGGTTTGTTGGCGGGGGGAGATGGGGGAAGGGGTGGCCCATTAGGAAAAGAATGAGATGCTTTCCTGAAACAAGTGCCGCAAGTGCGCCCAACATCCGAGAAGACAACAAAACAGCAAACCTTTGCCAAAACAAAGTTGCTTCTTGTTTCGGACCTCCAACAGCACATTCTTTCCACAATAATCCTCCAGCTTTGCACACGTTCAACCCGAAAAAAGTCTTTGGAGGCTCCTTTCCACCGGCTTCCGCTTCAATCCCTTTCCACCCGCCCTCCGAACCCCAACCTCAACCCCCCACTTTTCGGGCGACCACCCGAGAAAGAATCGGGTCGTCCATGGACGCAGTCCATCACAAGATGACAGAAGCCTACAGGTCAAAGACCTCATTTGACTGGAAGTGGTCATACAAAAAACACTACACACAACTTCGGGCAGACCAGGTAGAACCTCGGTACAGACTGGACTGGTAGGGGAAGCTGCGACTTCCGACACCACCGCGCTCGGACGTCGGGCCTTGGATGTCCTTGAGGGCGATCTCCGCGGCGCTCTGCTCCGCCTGGGACCCGTGCGGAGGGGCCGAACCGACGCCCCGTTCGGTGCGGTGTCGGTTTCGAAGCGCCGCGCTTCGTTCTCCCCCTGGTGCGAGAAACCATGGGGGCACGGTAGACATACCTAGAGCAATCCTAGAGCCGTCAGTGACCTGTATTTTGGATCAACGATCCGCCCCAAAGCAGAGGGTCTTTGTCCGATCCAAAGCAAAGGGTCATGTCATGCCATGTCCGGGCTCCAGGTACCCGTTCGATGACGGACCACCGTGCCCAGAGACTGTCGGTGAGAAGATGTGGGGGGTGTCTGCATGAGAAGATGGAGGTCTCAAGATGGATGAGAATCCCTTCAAACATGTTTAGACCAAGGAGGCTTTGTTCTCTGCATCTACCGACTGTGAGGGCCCACGTACTGTGAGTTTCAGGCGTTCTTCACCGACGTCCGCCAGTCGTCTGCACTCCAGGGTGTCTGATAGGCATACAATACACAGTGCTTGGCAGGGAATTCAGGGAATGGGCCCCCCACTAGATTCCTTAATAACCATTAATAACCCATTCTCTCATTCCTTACTAGGCACCAGTCAGTTCTTCTGGAACATCTCCTGACTTCGCAAAAGCCATGTGATAGGCATTGTGAAAGAAAACACCCACTCACCACAGCCACAGAGTCAAGGGATCATGTACCGGAAGTCTCACTTGCCCCTTCCCCATCGAGACCCTTTTGCTTGAGTTGTTTTTGATATACCCTAGGATTTGATCAACCATTGTTCTAATGCTCTGAACCCCAAAGAATCGGATGTTTACACTACACCAGGACCACCAGGTCAACCATTCTTTATCATTCTGTTGATGGTCTTTAAAGGCTATAGGGTATAGATTCACTGCATGTCACGCTTTTGATACTTTGCTGGCTGGAGCCCTATCTAAAGGACATCTTGGGGGTGTCAGTGCCATCTCTGAAACCACTGTAGAAACCACTACTGCATGTCTCGCATTCGTCATGACCGACTCTTCTCATAGAACGGCCCGGCCTTTTGCTTGGTCGGGCACAAGTGTCCGGCCCAAGCTCGTTGACCCCACTCATCGGGCAAACAGGAGATTTGCACCTCGAAACGGGGGGTTTTGATGGTCACCCGTGACCCTTCAGCAGGTCCTTGCTTGGCCCAAGACCGGGAGGCTGTCCAAATCAACAAAGAACTGACCAGGTACATTGGAAGTTGCTGATTTCTTGAGACATCCTGTAGGTTTGGGTGTTTCGTGTCACCATCCCCAAGTAGATCATTGGACACATCAGCAAAAACATATACTCGGGTGTACCTTAAAAACCCTCGAGTATCGAATCTTTTGCCACCAGCTGCCGGTGCGATCGAGAAAGACCTCACAGTCGAACCACCCCTGTTTGGGTGTCCTCTTGCAACGGTGCAAAACAGGTTCCTTGTTCATTGTTCCGCGAGGTGTGGCCTTGCATCTAATGTAGACTCTTGATTATAAAACCCCCAGTCCTGAAGAGGTCTTACAATACATGGACTTGCCGGGGGGGTTCTGAATCAAGACTTTCCCATTAGCCTCATCAGCCTCCCGTTGAATAAGATTGAACCCTGACAATGCCCCCCTGGAAGATAGTTTTCCTCTAGTCCAACCCCGGGGCAGCACTTGAGGCGACTCCTTCTTGAGGCGACTCCTACCCTCACGCTTCCTCACCAGAAACCACCTGCTTTTGGGGACCTGAATCGATCCCCTGGAGTCTTCCGAGCGTTGGAGGGCTCTTTCCGTGCACTGAGAACGCTCCCCTCATCGAGACCATCAGAGCCATGGAACCTGCCGTCCCGCTGTCCCTCCTCCAGTGAATTCGGGGCCCCACATGCGTGGGCACCGCCATCACCCCCAACAAGGCCCCGGTTAGAAGGGGTGGCATGAGGCGGGCGCCCGTGCGCCGATTCGAACCTATTCGACCCCCTGGCGAGAGCTGTGAGGCTTTGATTGACCACTGAAACCACCGCGGAACCTGCCAGTCGCGATGGCGCAGCCAGGCGGCAGTCGCTTGGTACTGCATGTTTATCCGGTTGCAAATATAGACCTGGGCTCAGAAATCTCAAGAGCCTCTTCTTGATCCGCCTGTCATTTCCCAAAATGGTCCGTTTCTTTGGCTCTTCAGTGTTGGGGGCTTTGGAAACCGGCTTTGGGGCCCAATCACTGCATCTTCGACGACGACGACGACGACGACGACGACGACGACGACGACGACGACG